AAAGACAAGTGAACAATCTTTAAGGTGATACCAATAACTCTACCTGCCCAAAAACTGACGAGAGCCTGATTCCACCACGCTGCCTCACATAGTGATTATCATTGTTATCATTATCGCAAAGAAAAAAACTAATGGGGAGATTATAACATCAAAGAAAGATATAATTATTTGAAGCTTTGATGCTATGATTAATGGAAAAGGACTCGCTCGAAACATTAGATACGTTTCATGTCAAAGCTTCTTTATTTTTCTTCTTAACAAAGAAGTCAATTATAAGATAATTAATTGTTGGTTTTGAAACGATGAGAAAAATCATAAATGTTTTCTTATTTTCTTTTGTGTCTTGTTTTAGGCTCTCCGTTGACACATCAATAGAATAACCCATTAATGGTTTCGGTCATCTACCGTTGGCAGTCTTTGCAATATTGAAAACGAGACCTAAGAAGGAGTAACAACAAATTTATTGTTACAAGCGTCCAATATACCTTCAGAGTTGTTTCATTAATTAACCTGCTCAAAACTCTTGTGCCTCTCAGATCTGAGTCAAGCCCCAATACAACATGGAAGGATTTCACAGCGGGCTCAGCCGAGTCCCTCTGATGCTTCCGGCGGAGCACCCAGGTCACATGATGTTGTCTCCAGATCACGCAAGTCACGTGATCAAATCGGAAGCTGAGTTCCAGGCGGCCATGGACAGTCTGGGTCGCTCAGATCACCGTGTGGGATACGGGAGCGGTAGCGTTTGTAACAGCAGCCTCAACAGCAGCGGTAGTAGCAGCCACCACCACCACAGCAGCAACAACAGCAGTAATCACAACAACAGCAACAACAGTAACAGCAACAACAACAACAACAGCAGCAGCACCAACTTCAACAGACTGAGTCCGTGTAGCGATGACAGTTCTTTAGCAGTAAGTTATTTTTCTCTCCTTTTCACTCTCTTTCAGTCTTTCCCCTGCCCCTACCTGGACAGAAAATAATGTGCTGATTGGAAATTTTTTCCCCAAAATAAATCGGACGTTTGTATTGGATAGTCTTTTGTTTGAAAGTCTTTATAAATGAATACTTTGGACGAAGAATAACTTCCTTTATTACTTTTGATTTAAAGCGCTTCCAGCCAAAGAACGGAGTCAAAAGCATACAATAACGAACAAAGCAAAACCAAAAGAGTTAATACATAAACTAAATAGGAATAAACT